CCCTAATATGAAGATTTTGGCACTGAACGTATTCTAGTCAAGGATTAAAAAAAAGACGGGAAAAAATACCAAATAGTAGCGCCAATATGGTCGTTTTAGTTTGTAGAGAATTGAATGAGCTAAACTCTGCATCCACGAAGACAACTTGTGGACAATCTAGTAGATGCGCCAAACAGTTAAAGTTGAAAATATGTTGAGCTTATTCTGCTGATTGACAATGTTTATATTTAATTGACTTAAAATTCAGTTTTTTCAAAAAATCCTGAAAGTACCGGCACTCCTTCGTTTATAAATATCCAAATTATACAACATAAAAACTATCGCAAGCGCCAATAAGGTATGCAAAACATAAATAGTCCCATTAGAAAGTTATCATTCAATAAGGATAATTAAAAAAACCTCTCCTGTAAAATTTACCTTTTGTCGCTTACGATAAAAGCATAATCAGATGTCGATTTGTCCTAATGTATGCATAAAACTTCACATTTTAGGTAGCCGTACACAATGGATGCATATACGTTTTAGGTGGATATCTAGAAAATAAAACAGTCGAGCGTTATGACCCTCAAAGTAACAAATGGACAAAGGTTGGTTGAAATAGTTACACCAAAAATTTAAAAACACCAAAATACAATTTTTTATTACTTTTCATAGATGTGCTCTTTGAACGTTAGACGTGGTTGCATGGGTTGTGTTTTTGTAGGTGATCAACTGTGGGCTGTCGGAAGCTGGAACTCAAAGTCCGTGTCAGTTTATAATGCCGAATGTGATGAATGGGTCGAAAAGAAACCAATACCTGAATCAGGTGGATACATGTGTTATGTTGTGCATAAAACTTTACTTGAATGTGAATAAGAGATAAGAAAATTTACAAAGTACTTAGTTGAAGACTTACTAGAGATCAATGTATTTATTTTGCTAACGCAACTTTTAATTTTCACCTTATCTTGAACATGAATTTTAGTTTAATGGTTTCTATTACTTTAAAATATGTTTGTTTGTAAAATGCGTTTTTTAAATATCTAGTAAATATATCCAACAAAGTAGAAGTGATTTTGATAGTTCTCTCTTTTGGACTACGACTGGAATATCAAATAAATAATAGATATTCGAAATCGTATTAAAGGAATCGGTTTCTTTTTCTTTTTCTTACACTATATATCGATGGCTGAGTGGAAGATCGACTTATCTCGGCAGGCAATTCGAAAACGGCTTATCTCAGAAAACTTTTCAAGAAAGCCCTACCTCAGAATTTGATTGAGAACGCCCTATTTCAGAATTCAGTTCATAAACGCCCTATCTCAAACGAAAATATATTAGGGTTATTCTCGAAGTCTTGAACGTAGCACAGAATATATCAAATGCAAAAATACTATTCCAAATTTGCAAGAGTACGAGAGCCCCTCATTGCAAAATAGTAGCATGCATTGGTGAAGAACAGCGAATTTCTCTATCAAATACAATACCAAGATACAGCAAAAAAAATGAATTGAGCGAAATCAGAGTAATGAGAGAAATATGTAGCAATTCCTACAACAAAACAACTAGCAAAGGGTCGCATTTATTTTGCTATGCTTTCTTGCAAACTATATACATGGGCTTCGACGTTGCATATTTTGCAGCGATAGAAAATGATGTTTCCCATGTATTTTGTTGTTGTGTATTTGCAAGTTATGCAATCTGTGCTACGTGCAACAACTTTGCAAGATTTCGAGAATACTCCTATTGAAAATGTGCTGGGATAGGGCGTTTTTGAACCGAATTCTGAGATAGGGTCTTTTTCAATCAAATTTTAAAATAGGGCGCTCTTCAACCAAATTCAGAAATAGGGCTTTGTTGAAAAATTTTCTGAGATAGGGCGTTTTCGAACTGGCTGCCGAGATAGGTCGATCTTCCACACGGCCATCGATATAGTCGGCTACAAAGAGAGCTAAATTTGATCGTCACTTCTAAATTGGTGAATATGCCTTGGTTTTTAAGCAACAGCTTAGAATGGTAAACATTTTAATTGTTATTCACTTCAACCCGAAAAAATTAAAAAGTTTTAAGTATTTTTATATAGGTTTTAACCGTTCAGAAAGGTTTCGAGGTTCTCTCAATTTTGACAAAAAATATAAATATATAAGAATTGTTGCTTAGTGCTTTAGT